GGGATTGCGGCGTGGCCATCCCCCCTGGGGGGTGATTTCTCGCTTTCTGTCTCTCTGTCTGTCTGGCGAGCACATGCACCCTATAGCAAAACCCTCTCCCCCCAAAAAAAAGAACTAAAAAAAAACCTAAAACTATATGCAAGTCCAGCTCCCTTAACCACTAGGGAAGGTAGCAAGCCTATGATTTTTTTTTCCCTACTACAGTTTTATTTATTGATTCTTGGTTAAACAAACCAAAAACCCTGACTGTTTGTTTTCCATGGTAAAGCCTTGAGGCACTTTGAGAACTTTAGCGCAATTCATGTGAGTTCCCAGTGAAATTTTATTTTTGTTTTTGCAATAGGGTGGGTGCCCTTGCCAGAGAGAGATGGTGAGGAAGCAACCTCCAGGGAGGATAACCAGGCCACAATTCCTTCTCCTTTGATCTTCTGTTGGGATTTTGGGTACACATGGCACATATGCCTGGCTTAATTTTCAAGCTGCTGGGTCCAGGACCCAAATGGCCCGGTCAGCTATTTGGGATTCAGTTACCTTCACCTCCAAGCCACCTGCCAACCTGTTCTTGCTTTTAATTGTTTGTATATTGACAAATACCCTTTTTAAAATTTTTCAACAGCTTAAGGCTAGGTATGCAAGAAGACTTGGAGGAAATGAAGCGTGAAGAAGAAGAAATGAAACGCAGAAAGGCCAAGAAGCTGAAGAGGCGTTAGCTGCTGCTTGTATTTATTTTTGTGAAATTCTGGACATACTCAGCTGTAAGGATTTCCTGCCTTCAGACTGAAGGAGCTCCCTTTATCCTCTAGACTTGAGTACTCCTGGGTACTCAAGGAGAAGGAACGCGTACTGTCATTTGCAGGCTGTCATTTGAGCATGGACACTTCCCAAGTGCGGATAGGATGACGCCACGGCGTGCTCTGATGCAGTTAGCTGTGCACAGTGCCGGCCTGGATCCCGATGAGCTATGCACTCTAACGTGGGGCCATTCACCAGTCAGCCGATACTTTATTGTTCCTTTGCTACTTTAAAAGGAAAAGAAAGATTGCCTCTTGACTTGTATAATTTTTCTGCTGATGTGCAAGTAGGCCACTGCCTGGCTCCCAGTCAATCAAGCTTACTGTCTTGTTAGGAGGAACCTGGCCCTTCCATGAATGTTGCCAGCAATAAAGTGACCTGTCCTAATCTATGTTTGGATTGAGACTTTGAAAATAGAGTAGGCTTTATAATATGGATGCTGTCCCTGTGACTTTGAAGTGCAAAGTAGAATAAATGAATTGTATTCTGCATTATCCATGGATTGGATGCTGAGCATTCCTACCAAGTTAGGTGATTAGGTAATTGACAGGTGAAATACAAGTTATGCCAATATAAGAATATTCTTTTTCTAGTTTTCCTTACTGTTATGTTGGCTTTAGTGTGACATAGAGAAGTCACTGTGCTGATTCATTTTTATCTAAAATTAATTTTTATATTGAAAAAGAAAAATAGTTATTTTACTCAAACATTAGACCGGAAAGTAATAATTTAAAAAATAAGGAAGTGACATGTGAGGCTCCCCTCTGCTCCTCTTCTCCATCACAGATATTTTGGAATCCCAAGGTATCCCTCGTACCTCTTGATATTAATGTCTTTGCATTTTTCACTTAAATTTCTTAGCAAATATTAATGGCAGAAACCAAAAACTAAATTCATGAATATCAAGAGCACCACCTTCTTTTTGTCCATATTGCACTTTCATTTCAAACTATGCACTGTGAAGAGATGTTTTTTCCCAGGTAGAAAAGGTTGTTCCCCTTTCCTGGTATTTTACTGGGCTTGGGCTGTGGAACTTTCTTCATGTCCGCCCTTCTTTTAAGTCATTTTAAGTAGACTTGCTATCACTTAAACCTCATGTCAAGCAATCCAGTTAGGCAACCTAGGTTCTTGCTGGAAGAATGCCAAGTCTCAAGGGTGTGAGCAGCAGAAAAAGTGTGATGCTAGAGAACGTCTGTCCTTGACTAATCGTAGAGGGTTGGGCAGTTGGGCAGCTCCACAGTCAATGTTCTGGCTCTTAAGTCATTGGAGCGTGGGCATCAGTTAAGTAGTGGGTTTTTTTTATAAAGAATCCTTACTCCTCAACAGGTCCAAAAGTTTTTGTGTTTCTTTTTATCCATAAAGTCTTTATTCAGGTTTGATTAGTATAGGTTACATTACTAGCCTCCCTTAATGGGACCACCTGACCCACTCCTTTCTGCCAGACTCAGTTTGAATTGTGTTTCAAACTTTGAAAGTAGAGCTATTTAATTTTAAAGTTAAATCTCATAAAAGGTGTCTGCATCACCATTTCTAGCCTCCACATATAGCTATTAACTCTGATAGCAGAAAATTCTGTTGACTTTTTCTCACCCGTCTCAAATGCCTTCAATGAAATTGAATGTGGTGTGATGTTCCATGTGTTAAAATAGGTTTAGAACATTATTTCCATTGTTATCACTTATACGCTTGTTTTACTCCCTTTAATATTGTTTTATTGGATTTCTTTTTCACTATTTGGACTCTGAAATTTGTGATTACAATCACTTGGTTGTCATAGCTGAAAGATTTCTGGTGGCTTAATGGTCGCAATGGCCACCAGCACTTGATGTGGTGTGGGTATTTGTATAGAAAGGCACTGTGTGCTCGGGTAAAGTCCCAGACCTTGGCAGGAAGAGTCAGCTTGTGACCTTGTATGTCTATCACTTGAGTGCATTTCTATTGTAATACAGATGTTGATTTGCATCAGCATTATAAAAGGGCACTTCTGTGGCTCATTTATTTAAAAAAAAAATTATGAGTAAGTCTTGAATTAATCTTGGCCTTGTTTCCAAATCCTGTCTTCCATTTCCCTGTTCTCCACTTCCTGACCACTTAAGGAAAGCTCCCAACCCTTTGAAGAAAGTGTAATGAGCTGTCATTTTATCAGGTTTACAAATTAAGTGCTTGGTTTTTAATGTATCCTCTACTGTTTTGATTTTCAAATTTTCTTAATTCACTCTCTGAAGATGTGCCTTTTATTGGGTAATGTTAATTCACGAATGTAGTAATGCTATTTCACAGCTGTAATAATGTTACATGACCACGAGCGCAGCACTCTAACATGAGTGATGGGAAAGGAAAGTAGTTTTCAGAGCTCATGGCGCTGATTGCACAGTCCCGCTGGCTTTTGATGGTGCTATGTCGAAGCGAAGGGCACTTCTTTGAAGGCTACTTTCAGAACTTGTCTTTGTATTTTCTCTAATCTACAAATGCAATTATGTCCCTTTGGAGGCCAGGGTACCACATGTCACAGGCAGCCTTACATGTGTGCCGTGAGAAGGTTCAGAGACTGTTAACAAAAAGGAAAGTCTATGGGAAATAGAAATTTTGTTTTTTAAATGTAATCCCCAAGATTTTCTCTAAGACATAAATTGTTGTTTTGTATTTTGTAACTAAAAAGCAGCTATTAGTACATTTCTGAGATATAGCAGGAGACCAAAATATGTTTGGAAAGAGAATAAATATATGAAGAGAAACTGGTTGTTTTATTTTCAATGTGCTGAATATATTAGACTACTATTTATTTTGTGAGTAGATGTGATAAAGTAAATATTCAGGTGTTTAGTGTATGACTAAGAGTGGGATATAGATTTCTTTGGGTTATTAAATCCATCATGTCTTTTACATAATGGACAAATCAAGTTTAAAAAGAAAAAAACAACTTTTACTTAGCTTAGCTTGTTTTCTGGTGCTGTTGACCTGCAAGAGAATATACTTTTGCATATACAGGTAAAAGTTTTGCAATTTATGTATACAAAAAAATTGTAGGCATTAAAAATATTTTATTGATAATTTTACTGGTTTGCATTTATTGATTGAACTTTGAGCTTTTCCTTATCTCCTCACACTGACATTTTTCCAGCTAGAAGCCTCAGCGGGCTCGTCAGACTTCATGCTCTCCCCACGCAGCTCTGTCTGCCCAGCCCCTTCCATGACATCGCTCCTCTCACAGGTAAGGGAACAGTGCTGCTCTCAGACAGCCCAGTTGGATGAGCTGTTCGGTAGTGAGAGTGAGAGACACGAGCGTTTCTCAGAGGCATATTCACAGCAAAGGGAAGGTAGCAGAACTGCGCACACAGGGACGTCAGCTCATGGGAAACGGGACTAAACGGAATTAGAGTACTTTTTTGGCAGACTCCTCCCCACCCCGCCAAAAAAGAGAAAAACCTATGCATGTTTTTTTGTAATGTGTGTTTTCCCCTCCTTGCCAGGAATTTTGGAAGACCCCTTGTTAGCTCCTCTCCAACTGAGCAGATCCTGATCCCGTTTAATAAAGAGCCCAGGGGCTGAGAGGATGAGTCCTTGGGGCCTCTACGAGCAGTGGCACAGCCATACAGCCACAGAATAGCGGTAAGCTGCTGGAACGTGACGAGTCTAAGGGCTGTAAGGAACGGGTGCTGGGGCCTGTATTCTGAAATCAGTTCCATTCTGTCTCTGAGCTCCAGCCCTCCTCCAGGGGGCTTGTTAGGAAGGCCCTGAAACGCAGACACCTAATGACATAGGTCTTAGGTGCCTGTCCTTGGTTTCATTAGCTCAAAACTATACTACTGAGGGCTGAGCAGAAGCTGTTTGTTTCTGCCTATGCCGCCCTTTTCAGCAGTACTAGCTGTGAAAGACTCGAGCAATCCCTTGGCCTTTTAGGTGAGGGAGATATTTTTGTGGGTATTTTTTGTTGTTAGATTTTTGCTGTTGAGTGCATGTGCTTGCTAGAGAGACAGAAAGCAATAAATCACCCCCCAGGGGGCAATGAACATGCTGGAATCCCTTCTCCACTCTTCTCTCAAGATTTTGGGTATGCGCACACATGCACCTAGCATGAGTTTTAAACCGCCAAGTCCTTGACTCAGACTGCAGTCAACTACGTGGGAGTCCAGCAACATAACTGTTAGACCGTCTGCCGATCCCGGGTGAAGGAGATGTTTAGACAGCAAGACCTTGGATACCCCAGGCTGTCTTGTTTGGTATTTATTTATTTATAAATTTATGAGAGGTTTTTGCTATAGGGTGCGTGCACTCACCGGAAAGACAAAGTGAGAAATCACTCTCCCGGGGGGATGGCTACACTGCAATCCCTTCTCCTCCATTCTCCTCTTGGGATCTTGGAGGCACACGCACCCAGAGTGAGTTTAAGCCACCGGGTCTGGGACTCGAAGTTGACTACATGGGAATCCAGTGACATAGCCATTACACTAACTGCTGGCCCCTTGTTTGACTCTTTAACGTGGCATGTAAAGGAAAAGGCCTGGTCTTAATCTTTGCTTTGCAGTTCAGACCAGGCTGTGTTGGCAAGATGTATAAGCCTCTCAACCTCATTTTTGCTATTTTTTAAAGATAAGGCTAATACCTACTTTAGAAGGTGATTATGAGGATTAAATAATGTGTATTTTAATGTCCAGGTCCCGTATTTAAATGAAGTCTTTCCCTGATGCTTTGAAGCCTTAGTAATGACTATAAAAAGACCACAGGGAGAAACCACCCCCAAAGAACTGGCTTGAAATTGCCGTAATGTCTAGTCCTTTGGTAGTAGTGGGTTGTGTGGAAAGTCAGGACACATTTTTGCATAGGAAAACAGAAAAATACATCATGACTTTCCTGACAACGTATTTTTTTCCCATCTGGATCCTGGCACCTGTTAAAGGTATTACTTGTGAACTATAAAGAGCTCTGGTGAATTCCTGTCCTTGGGGACACAGGACAGGGGACAGGTGGCACTAGGGATCTTAACTATTAATGCCAGACTTAGAGACTAACAGAAGGGATACAGTCATCTCCCATCCATCCCGACTACCTCCACCTCCTCCATCTCCCTGTTACAAGCTAACAGAATACCAAGCCTTCATCTTTAAAAATGTGATAACTTTTACATAAAATATGACAAAATAATGTGCAATTTACTTTATGCGAAACCAACATCAGGAACTGTAAAGCTGGTCGGGTGAGCTTCAAAGCTGCATTACTTCACCAGGATCGTCCTTGCTTATCTCCACTGGGGTCTGGGGGGAGAAAAGCATGTCAGGGGGGGCTGATGGTTTCCAGGGTGTAAAGCCAAGGCATTTGCCCTCTTTGCCAAGGGCTGGCAGGGATGGCTATGACCAGTGTCGTCTGACCTAATGCCTGTGATCCTCATGCCACAGAAAAATACATCATGACTTTCCTGACAACGTATTTTTTTCCCATCTGGATCCTGGCACCTGTTAAAGGTATTACTTGTGAACTATAAAGAGCTCTGGTGAATTCCTGTCCTTGGGGACACAGGACAGGGGACAGGTGGCACTAGGGATCTTAACTATTAATGCCAGACTTAGAGACTAACAGAAGGGATACAGTCATCTCCCATCCATCCCGACTACCTCCACCTCCTCCATCTCCCTGTTACAAGCTAACAGAATACCAAGCCTTCATCTTTAAAAATGTGATAACTTTTACATAAAATATGACAAAATAATGTGCAATTTACTTTATGCGAAACCAACATCAGGAACTGTAAAGCTGGTCGGGTGAGCTTCAAAGCTGCATTACTTCACCAGGATCGTCCTTGCTTATCTCCACTGGGGTCTGGGGGGAGAAAAGCATGTCAGGGGGGGCTGATGGTTTCCAGGGTGTAAAGCCAAGGCATTTGCCCTCTTTGCCAAGGGCTGGCAGGGATGGCTATGACCAGTGTCGTCTGACCTAATGCCTGTGATCCTCATGCCACAGGGCTTAGCAGCATGAGGGTTGATGATAGAGAAAAAAGACACCTCCCACCAGGAGCCTTGCATAGATGCGTTGACTGGAGGAAGGGATGAGTTTGAGGTTGCTGAAGTGGGCTGACAGGAAATGGTACCAAAGGCTGAGCATATAAAACATGCAGTTAGCACCACAGACTACGCCCAAGTCAGCTTTGAGTCTGGGCTTGAAATGTTCTTTCCCTCCAAACTGAAGAAGAATAGGTCACTCTCCCAACTCTTACGAATAATAACAGCAGATGTAACTAAGACATGATAACTGTTTTAGAGTGGTAAAAAGTTCCTGAAGTTAGGGTCGGATTTTCAAATCTAGTTTGTTTCTCTGGGGAGAACAACACATTTCAAGGCAGGCGGAGTGAACCAAGTTGAAGGTGTACTCACCCCTCCTGGGGGATACTTATATCCCTTCCACATCGTTCCTGCAATGAGAAGCATCCACAAGACAACGATCATTGTGGGCTGCTTGCTTGTCAGGCGGTGTGCACAGACGGAGATGGGTGGTTCTGGAAGGCGTGGGGTTCTAGTCTCTGAGTCCTAGGAACTGGGCTTCTTCATTAGAGACCAGATGGAGGAGGGCCCAGCATGGCAGTTCCTGGCTGAAAGCCTCCGTGGTCTAGTCTGAGCTGCAGTGGCTCCCCATGGCCTTTTGCAGAGCTCAGACACCAATTGTGACATCAGCCCCTGTGACCTTAGGGGTCCAGTCAGCGTGGGCAGCTGTGAGAGAAGTGGCCAGCAACCAGGTGCCATGGGACTGATGAAAACTGATCCAAAAGGCCCTTGTCTGTTAGGACCTAACTGGTCTCACACCTGTATTAACTTGTCACTTGTAAAATATTGAACTGTTTTGTTTTTTTAGTGCAATGTTTAGATGCAAACAACAATGCTATGCAAAAAAAACAAAACACACTTTGGATTATGTGGAGAATTCACTGGCTAGTTAGGCTATAAGCAATGAACTCTACATGCTATAAGACTGCTCAAAGAAAAAAAACTTGCGGTTTGTAAAATAGCATAGTTAACCCCCCACTCGGGAGGGTGAGGCTCCTCACAATCTCCCCGAGAAAGGAAGACTGTCACTGTCCCTTACACTCAGTTCACAATTGGAGAAACCAAGCCACCGGATAGCTTGAGGCTCTGTCAGGCTCACACGGGGGGGTTGGGGGGGGTGGCTCAGCGGAAAAGTATACACAGTTCTCTCTATCTCCCCACCCTCACGAAGGCCTGACTGCTTTGGGCTTTCGCTCTCACAGAAGTCCTGGGGCATGTGCAGAAGAGAGAGACCAACCACCGTGACTTGCTCTTCGTATACCTGTGGCTGCAGCTTGACAGCCCTGCCTTCTGGAACAGCTTCCCAAATGGCCCGCTCCCGTAAGAGTCAAGTTGCTTGAACAATGAGAACAGCTCTGGAAAGAACCCAAGCCTGAACGGAATGGAGGGTGATGCCGGAAAGCCAGGAGGTGGTGTGCTGAAAGGGATGCTGCGTGAATGCTTCCCGGAGGCAGGCTGGTCTAGGGGGCGCGTCGGCCCGTGAAGGCCGAAGATCCACGCTTACATCCCACCTCCATCAACAGCCTAGTTTGCGTGGCCTTTGATAAACAGGCAAGGTCACTGTCACCAGTAAACCATGTTGACCAGTTCATTCTTCTGCCTGGTTGTTTTTATTTTACTTAATGGTAACTTCCAACTTCCAAGCTTTCCATTTTAAGTGCACAAATTCCCAAATGTAATTTTCACCAAAACAGTATGATACTGAGATATCTTTTTTGAGAGAGAGAGAGTGAGATTTTTGCTATAGGGCATATATGTTTGCTGGAAAGACAAAGAGACAGAAAGCAAGAAATCGCCCCCAGGGGAGATGGCCACACTGCAATTCCTTCTCCTTCATTTTCCTCTTGGAATTTTGGACACACATAAATATGGTGCCCAGTGTGAGGTTTAAACCACTGGGGCCGGGACTTGAACAATGGTCAACTATGTGGGAGTCCAGCCATGTAACTGTTATGCCACTTGCTGGTCTCAATACTGAGATAACTTAAACCGTAGAAAAAAACTGAGTTTCAGAGAAATTAAAACTTTCCCAAGGTCACAAACTAGAAAGTTGTAAAGTTAGTACTTGAGCTGAAGTCTATGTTAACTCTGGTTTCAGGATCTGTCAAAAGTGACGTTAAAAATGCTGGTCCAGGGATTTCTCGCTTTCTGTCTCTCTGTCTCTCCAGCGAGTGCACATGCCCTTTAGCAAAAATCTCTCTTAAAAAAAAAAAAAAAGCTGGTCCTGGGGTCAGCAGGTGGTGTGCCAGTTACATCAGTGGACTCCCCATGGCTGACACTGGTTCAAGTCCCAGACCTGATGGCTTGAAAACCATGCCGGGCACATGTGTGTGTGTGCCCCAGATCCTGGGAGGAGAATGGAGAAGAAGGGATTGCAGCAAGGCCATCTTCCCTGGAGGGGAAGGAGTGATTTCTCATTTTTCCTCCCACTAGCTCTGGTGAATGCATGCACACTAAGACAAAAATCTCTAAAAATATATATTTTTAAATGCTGATCTTGGGGGCCAGCTGATGGCATGGTGGTTAAGGCAACTGGATCCCACATGACTGACCACCAGTTCAAATCCTGGACTAGGGCTTGAAGAAAACACGCCAGGCATGTGTGCCCAGAATCCTGAAAGGAGGGAGAAATGGTTGAGACGGGCTTGCAACATGCCTAGTCTCCATAGGGGTATAGGCTTTTGGGAGCAAAAGAAAAATATTGGTCTTGGGGGCTTCACAGTGCAGATGAAAAGCTGTATATTTCTGCAGTACAGAAATGTCATTGTTCTACTGGTGGCTCAGGCAGTGGGGGCACTGCTCTGTGATGCTGTAGGCTGTACGGGAAGGCTCCAGGTTCATGTCCTGGGTCTACCTGAACACAGCAGGCATGCCCACAACCTGGGCTGGATGGCGGGCTGGCGGGGAGGGTCACAGCAGGAAGATTCTCTTGATGCCTGTCTCTTTTGCCCTTTCTCTCATAAAGGAAATATGAAACTAAAAATGCTGGCCATATATACATATATATGTAATGTGTGTGTGTGT